GTCTCCCTCGGACCCAGATCCTCGCTAATAATAACCGGCACCCCCCGCCCCTCCCCTGGGCCCTGTAATTCTGTAAAATAAGAAAATTGAATAAGGAAGGAGGTTTATTTTATGTCTATGGAGATTCTAAATCATCTAGTTCATGATTGTCCCAAAGGTGCCTTTTCAGGAGGCAATTGGACTTCCTTGTTTTTCTTTGAAGAAATTTCACTTCTCATCCAAGTGGTTGTGAAGTGGTTGTTTTGTTTCCCCAATGTACAGAACTGCACAATGAGATATATACTTTGGAGAAACAAAACAACCACTTCATAAATGCATGGCACAACATAGCAGAATAAACCTTTCAGGACAATATTCAGCAGCCACCTGCATTTAAAAGACAAATGCCACTCTTTTCAAGACAGCAAAGTCCACATTTTGGACAGAGAAGACCACTGTTTTGAAAGAGGGTCAAAGAGGCCATCTACATCAAAATTGAATAGCCCTCTCTCAACAGAGGGGGAGATATACTATATCATCTATCTCCAGTGTATAACACAGACATTTAAGAGTTCCAAGAAGGCTCCATATCCATTTGCACTATTCAGGGTGACCCTGAGGACCCAGATAAAACTCCAAGTGACCTCATTGACTCTCTAAAAGAAGGCAGATGACCAGCTGTCTGCAAGGAATATCAATCCTTCCATTCCCCAACATCCAGTCAAAGCTGAAGAAGCTTCTTGGATGAGAAGCGAAATGTCTTCAAAGAAAAACAAAAAAGTCCAGCTGATTCTTGAAAAAGCACCTTTGGGGGATATTTCTTTTACTTTTCCCATGTCAAGCATTTTAAAAAATTAAATCAATTTCTTCTCATGAAACCATCAGGGAAAAAATAATCTATGGCTACTTCAAAGTTATATCAATTAGAAACAGATTTGAAGGGATCAGTGAAGGTCAGGAGATGTTTTGTACTTAATGGTTCATTGTGCCTCATGATATGGAGATGGAAACCTCACAGACACCATAGGACTGTTACATTAGTGGTACTTTTTTTTTAAGACAAAAGGTTATTTTTATTAGGTCAAAACCCCACATGATTATTTTTTTACTAGCAGTAAAGATTTTTGCAAGTCAAATCTTTGAGATTTAAACTTTAGCTCCATTTTTTTTGTTAATAATAATAATAACAATAATGCCTCTGAAAGCAATATAAAAATTCTAATAACCAAATTTGGGTTTAAATTGAACATGTACACCAAAGGAAGGTTGATTAATGGTTGGTTGGTCATTGAACTATTTAGCCATTGATTGAGATGGCTAAATAGTTCAATGACCAACCAACAAACTCATTGACTGAGTTGAGTATCTACAGAAATTGAATCAATAAATTACTATTTCCCAGTATCCTTTGAAGCAGGGTCATTGCATAGCTTTCATGAAAGAGCTACAAATCTACTTTTTCTGCCTTAAGCTAATTAGTAGTTGGAGAATTCTCTATGTGCATTCCTAAGAGTGGGAATTTGACCTGAGCAATGATTACTTAAACAAGCTGTACAACTACCATACAAAAAGGGTTTATTACAGAAAATAGATTAAAGGAACTCATTCCATTAAGAGAAGATTTGGAGCACATGCCTCTGCATGTGTCCCTGTTGAGAAAGGCAAAAGAAATTATCTCAGATTTAAAGTGTCATAGACTGGAAGCAAGCAAAATGATAAACCCATAATAAATCTGTAACTCTCTTTCTGCCCTGACTAATCAGTAAATAGCCAATACTATTAGATTTATATCTTCAACAAAACATAGAAGTCACTGAATCAGAATATGATCCCCAGATCATATGTTTTAAGTTAGGCTCAAATGTCTTTGTTTTCTAGGGCTAAAGCAGAGGTACTGACCCAAGATTTTGTGCTTAAGGTAAACTGGAATTGTTGGTATCTCACTTCTTAGCCTGGTGCCCTAGCCACTTCATCAAAAGCTATAATTGTCAGCATTCTGAGTAATGCACCCATTGAAAGCAGAACTCCAAGGCAGATAGGTTCCTCTGAGAAATTTGATTATTGGATACATCATATCAGCACAGTCAGTGAAAACCAACTCTGAAAGTTCCCACGGTTTTCACCTAATTAAAAGAATGAAACTTTCTACCACCCCAATGTCATCATTCACATGGTCCAATGAATACAGGTGGCAGGCTCCTCTCCTCCTTCACCAGCCACCTGTTACAATGATCTTGGTTCCCACAGGAAAACTTTTTATTTTGATTGTAAACTGGACTATCTACTTCCACTTTCCCCTTCTTTCTCTGGCTTTGTGGCAACTTTGAGGCAGCACAAGATGGCTTCAGCCAGGTTCGCTTCAGAGTTGACAATAAATTTGGGTTTTCATGGTTACCTGCACTTCTTAAAGCACTATGCTCAGTCTGAAAGGACCAAGGAACTGGACAGAAAACAATTTTCAAACTGATGTGAAAAAAACAGATCTTCCAGAGTGTTAAAGATTCATCTTCTTTCTAATATGAATTAATTACATGCAGAAGAATTGCATAAATCGGTGGCTCTCAACCTTTTCTTCACCACGGACCCCCTTTAAATATCTTTGGTGGTCACGGACCATGGCCATGGACCCCCAAGACTTAACTCAAGATTTAAATCATAACATTTTTTCAAGCCTTTGCGGACCCCCTGTAATGACATTGTGGCACCAGGCGTCTGTGAATCCAGGTTGATAACCCTTGGAATAAGTGGTTAATTGCCCAATTGCCTGTTAAGAGAAAAGGAAGATGATTACAGGAAAACAGTAATCAACTGTTTCATTCAATGCTCAGACTAATTTGATTTATTTCAAGTCATACAAGAGATACAAACTGATGCCTAGCAGAGAAAAAATGTATAATTTTCCCTTCCCGAAGGAACAGTGGATTTTTATTGCAGGTTTATACCTTGGTTAGCTCAACATTGTTTCCATTATTATGTACCATAACTCAAAAGCAGTATCTGAAATCTTCTATTGTTACAATAAAAAGAAAACCCGCCATTTATTTAGCTAGAAGAAAATTACTGAAAAAAACTAATGTATAATGGCAAGAGCTAGATGCATGCAGCTTGGAGCAAAGCAGTGAAAACGAGCTAGCTAAATGAAATAATGATGAGCCAAGGAGCTTATGAAGTCCTTTAAAATGCTCTTCTCTAATGAACTGTACATTTTTTCTCCTCCCATGAATTTTAGATGAAATTTTACCAATTAATTGCATTTTGGAGGTTGCACAGATAGCAATAGATTAGAATTCAACATTCCTTGTTGAAACCTAGCTGCGAAGGAATAATAATAACCAGATGTGTGATATTTCACTTGCGTCTATTGGAGCATTATTTTCCCTTAATTTGCAGAGCATTAAGTTGTATATTTGAACCACATAGCTTCAAAAACAGGAGATGGAAGAACAAAACTACATTATTATAACACTTGTTGTCTTACCATTAAAGAGGCCTCCTGTGCTTAATATACTGTGTATGTTCTCACTTGTATATACCTGGGGCTCTATAATCAAGTTGGGCAACCTGAGCCCAAAACTTGTGTGTTGTAGCATCTGAATATCTTTCAAACCCTTCATGGCTACTCTACCAAGTGCTAGCCTGAAATGTACATCCTGACTGCTTGTTCCTTTACTATTGGCTGATTTTTACATATGCTGTATGTTGATATCCATCTATAAAGGCATTATTTTGGCCGCCTAAATGCATTGTTAGCTATGAAGAAACCACTGGTGTGGCAGAAATTGACAAGCCATTCACCGGATTCATTTCACTTGCTTAAACCATACAATCCAACTACATTTTCTTCTTTAATATTACCAGTTTTGGCTTTCTAGTCTGCTATCAGAAGCAGCACATATCTTGTTGATTTCAAATTGCGCTTAATCACAAAACTCATCAACCTTCTTTTCTTCTGCATCAGGTTTGGAGAACTCATTTAAAGCAGTAGCTTAGAGTATCTAAAATACTTTTTTTTTTTCAAAAAAATCTGCCCCCAAATTGCCTTAAAGTATCATTTGAATCTGTTAAAATCTCCTAAATGGGGAAAAATAAGTCTAAAATTTTACCCCACATCCACTCATGAGTCTCTGGATGACAAATGATTCCCAAACCACAGCAACAAAAACAATTCTAAGCTGAAAAAGCCCACTCCAGGTGTATCTTAAACCTAAAATAGACTGCTTATACTTTAAAAAGGAAAACCTAAACCCCAAATTCAGAAAAAGCAAAGAATTCACTAGGTAGATGCATAATGCTCAGTTTTTCCCCATGGGTTCCATTTGACTAAAAGCCATCAAGTGTGTCCCCAAAGCACACTTAAAATAAGCTTACAAGAAACAAGAAAAACATCTTTCTTCATTGCTTTAGAACATATGTCCATTCATCAAGGTCAGCTTTGAATTATGAATTTTGCCTGATTTCATGAGCCAACAAATCTCTTCAAAATTAACTTTGGGTCCAGAGCTCAATTAACTTTATGCACATCTTGAAATAGAGAAGCAAAAATTTGTATTTTTAAAAAATTATTGAATATGTATTTACAAAATTCCCTTAAAATAACGCCAGTGCCAATCATGTCAGTGTTGGAGAGTAGACTGGAAATCTGTAGTATATCAGAATTTTTTCCTACTTTAATGTGGAATATTGCATTGTCCTTTACAGTGTGCAGGTCCTTTACAGTGTAATTTTCTAAGCTTCGTCTACCTTTAGTTTAATATTTTGTCTGATGTTTAATTCACCTTTCACTTACTTTAATTTTTGTTTATTTAGTTGTATCCCACCTTTATTATTTATGATTCTTTTTATAGCACACACATTTGTATTTTTTTTTGGGGGGGGGGGAACCTTCCTTTTTTAGAATTAGCCATGTTCTTCAACTTTTTTAGCTGCTAAGAGTTGATCACTGTGGTGAGATATAAATCCAGTAAATACAATAAACTATTTATGTAACAAATAAATAAACTGAGTAGTTCCACAGGTTCCAGTGAATGATTTAGAAACAAAATATATTTTTGGAACAGTGAATATATAGAATCACAGCAATGAGCAAATTAAAGAATCATTTGTCCTGTTTAGGACATATATAGTTGCTGAGGTTATTCAACTTGATTAGAATCCATGTCTCTATATTGTTCAGTAACCAAACGTAAAGAGAGAAGGATTTCTGGTAAGGCCGTTCTTCTTGTATGTATAAATAAGTGGTCCAGTAGGTGTTCTTCTATTTTAAAAATGGTATGCATCCTGTATATTGCTGTCAAAGCTGTTGCGATGTGTTCTGCAGAAAAATAAAAATAGAAGTTTATATAAACATTGAGAAGGTGGAGTGGATACACAAAAACATAAAGCAATAACTAAAACTTTCTCATCAGAAATAAAATAACCCGGAATTGCTACAATTACATGCAATCTCTTCAAAACACAAAATCGCATCCAATCAAATGTTTCACTTATTTATAGCCTTCATTTTAAAATCATTTATATATTGGGGCTGGGAAGGTGGCTTTGAGTCAGTGTTTTGACTCCTGGCAACAGCCTGGACATCAAGTCCTTGCAATTTTCATAGCAAAGGTTTGCCCCTTCCTTTTTCCTGGGGCTGAGAGAAAGTGACTGGTACTAAGTCACTCAGCTGGCTTTCTGCCTAAGACAGAACTACAACACAGTGGCTAGTCTGATGCCTGAACCACTGCACCTAACTGGCTCTCTCTAAATCAAATTCTTACTACAATCCAAATCAGAGGTTCAAAACCCAAATCTCTGTGTGCTTCCCCTCCATCTCCCAATGTAAGGCATTCTAACTCTTAATCTGATTCTTCCTAGTTCATATCCACAAATAGGCATCATTCATTAAAGTCATCAATAGTCAGTTAAGGTAGCATCTTATAACCATTCGTGTCCAAATAGTTCTTTAGTTCATGGATTCCAATGGAAGAGAAGAAGATCGGAAAGGTCATTATATAACTATAGCAATGCAATAAGTGAACAGCATAATAAATACACCTGACAGCATCAATTATCTGCTATCTAAGATGAAAAAAGATTCCACAAATTTAGCAAGAAGAATAACTGTCTTGTGCTGTTCTTTTGAATTCCTCAATCGGAATGATTAGACAGGGAATTATCTTCAGAAAGTTTTACTCATTGCTAAAGAATTCAAAGACATAGATTCTCCCACTGTATAGAAAATGAGAGGGAGGGAGGGAGGGAGAGGGAGAGAGAGGTGAGGAAGGAGGGAGGGAGAGGGAGAGAGAGAAAATATGAAGATCCTTTTTACAGCACTATCAATCTGGCATGATTTTGAAAGCTACATGTACCTTTTAAAATTAAAATGGCATTTTTGTTCATTAATGCACTCCCAGGAAAATAACATATGCAAAGCAAAGTGACTGAATTAAAGTATGGGTATGCACTGAAGGAAATGCAGATAGCTTGCCTCTCCAATCTTGGCAGTGGTTAGTAATGGAGATGCCAGACAATGAAGATAGGAAAGCTTGATTTTAAAGGGAGAGGGCAAGAAACTGAGTCCATTGGACAGAAAGAAGACAGCTGCGAATAGCTCTACCAATAGTAAGAGGTGCAAAATGAAAGAATACACAAATGCACAAGGAAGTTATGCCAAACAATTGGGGGAGGGGAACAATAACATCATTGAAATTCCTATTCCCCTCCCCCCCTTAGCATCAAAGAGACAGCTGCAGTGCAATCTGCTATTTATGTAGAGAAAATGTTAATAGGGAGAAGGACAACATCCTCCTGGGAACGTTTATGCTAAACTTATTATTAACATGATAGCCACCAAGATAGATGGCTTTAAATGAGGATTTGAGAAAATGATGATATGGCTGGCAATGTGTACTTCTTGTTGAGATCCAGGTGCAGAAGCATTATCTTCTCACTGAAATCCAATCAGTGGGGATTATATTTTAGAAGGTGGCAACATTGGGCTCCTAACCTATCTGTAAGCTTTGTACCAACACCCATTTCTGTGGGAATAGTATGCTGAACTAGCTAGGCTGTTGATCTGATTCAGCACAGTTCTTCATATATCCTCAATAGATGATGCTGTATATACTGAAAAACACATTTTTCTTTAATCATACAACCACTCTTGGGCAAAGGGAAAGGAAGCACCCTACAGTATCCAGTTTCTTTGTCTTGTCTTGTTTTCCTTCGTTCTCCCATACTTAAGGGTTGCAGGCATCTGTCATTTTTATTTACTAAAAATGATTATGGAGCCCAAGAAAAAATTTAAAATGAGATATTTTTTCATTAGTGAGTTCTTCAAAAACTTTTTTTTTTTTTTGAAAAAGTCAATTGGTACAAGGACGCCTGCAAGCATCCCAGGAGATGGCTATTATAGGTACATTAGGACATGCACTTGGTATTTAGCACCTTCATGCTGGACCATTTCTATAGCATTTCCTTCTGATAATTGCTCAGCAAATGCTAACATCCCCAAGGCTCTATCTTTGCTAGGGTAATTTAGGTAATAGTTTAAGTGCTAGCCAGCAGTAAGCATGTAGTATATCTATGAGGAATAAATTCCCCATTATTTAGAACAATGTCTACTGAAGCATGCACAGTGCATCAATCTATTGTAAATCTGAACATACTATAAAGAAAATGCATTGATTCCAGAATGTAGTGGATATTTATCAGTTTAAAATTTGTGCTTATATATCGGATTCTCAACTTTATTTATTCATGATCTTTACAGGTAATATTATACAAAATAAAATGGAATATATAATCTAATATTTTATAATATATAAAATGGAATATATATTACTACACTAGTACTTATATACTATACAATAATATTTAATAAATGTTAAATTTCCATCATTTATAAATATTTAATAAAATAAAACAATATTTATAACTACTATATAAATACTGTAAAATTTATGGATGTGGTAATATAGACATTATAGTTCTTGACATCTTTTTTTAAAAAATTCTTATGCAGCTGAAATTAAGTAAAGCAAAAAAAAATGAGAATTTTATTAAGGTCATTCTCAATAGTAATGCTTTAACTTTGTTCATTTAAATATTTGAGAAATTAACCATCTAGGATAGTGACTCTATTAACCCTGCAGTATCGGAATCCAACCACTATATCTGTGTGTGTGTGTGTGTGTGTATGGACACACACACACACACACACACACACACACACACACACACACACACACACACACACACACATATATATATATATATATATATATATATATATATATATATATATATATATATATATATATATTTCCATGCAGATCTATTATTCAGCTTTATTTATCATGATTAAATATAATAAAGACCCTTTATTAATTCTTCCAGCCTTGATAGGAGGCTTAAAAATATGAAACCTCTATGACAGCTGTTAATTGGAATATTAGGTTCTGATATCTCATATCCTTGTTTAAATTTTAAGACATGGTACTATTTACAGCCATAAGTACATCTCCAAACTCAGATATCTGTGGTATAATTAGTGCATTAGTGGCAATGCATAATTATGGATGCCAGTAAAACCTATTGCTACACTAATCTATCATGCATTTTACAATATTTCAGAGAAAGCACAGCTTCCAAATGCATCAGGGATGAAACTAATTATAACCTACATGCATTCACTGCCCACCACTCCTATAATTATTATATAAAAGAGGAATAACATTTTAAGGAAGGAATATCAATATGTAAAGATTTGACAGTTGCTATGAACATTCAAAACCCATTCCAGAGACCTTAATAAAAACATTCCATGTCAGTGTAAAATCATACCAGAAACGTGTAGGATGACATTTCAAACCCTTATACAATTCATGCGATCAGTCACAATATACTCCACAGTCACAAATTAATTATCTCAACGGTGGCATGATCCATTTTGCCTTGAGTTGATAGAACCAATGAAAAGAAAACTTACCTTCTTGATCTGAGTGTCTTTCATTTTCTTCCTCCTCTCTCTCTCATTCCCCCTCCCAATTCATTTCTTGTTTTGTCAGGCATACTCTTATCTGTTTATCTCCCACTGTTTCCCCTTCTTGTGTACTTATAATATCTTTTCTACTTTGCAGCCAGTCTTCTCCTGACTTAAATATCCACAGCTGTTACAAGTCTACAGGAAGCTTTCTTCATAGACACTGATTAAAGTCTCCTGCTTGCTTGAGCTTGTCTGTTTTGGTTTGGTCTCTGAATAGTAGTGGTGCATGTGTGTTTTCTTGTTTCTTAAATTGTCTAGATTGTGTGTGATCTCTGTATTAGTTTCTCATCCTATTACTTCTGCTTCACTATCCATGAACAATGTGTATCCTGCATTTGCTTCTGTCACTGGCTCAGCAAGCAAAAGTGGATTTCCTTCACCGGGTTTCCAGTGTTCCACAAGAGAGAAAGAGAAAATAGTTTTTCCAAATAATATTTGCATTTAAATAATAGGGATTGATGGTGTATAAAATATGGAAAGCAGCTCTAATAGACATAATGTTGGACTGGATCCTAGATTGAGGACAGATTCCAGCTCAGCATTTGCAAGTGTTTTTCTCATGCTGTGTTGCCCTTCTCTTAAGTGGGATATTGTTAATTTTTTCCTCTGCTCCTTACTGGATTTGGTAAAGAATTTAATGTGTGAATATACAGCCTTGGCTACATTTGCTATTGTGTGAAGAAGAACAATATTCTCAGGCATCAGATGATCCATAAATTAAAAGCAAATCTAGTCTATTAAAATAGAACCAAAACTACTTTTATATTTCCCCCAATTCTTATAATATGGTATTATATTTCATTAACAGAGAATATAAATGGGTATTGGTTCAAACACAATTGCTTTACAGTTGCAACAAAACAGATATTTTTAGTATTCCTTACTACCTGTTTTCCTTTAGAATGAGATATGAAAGACACAGTTGCAAATAGCTCCCAAAATAAAGAGGATAGCAGAAAAAGCCAATTTGACTCCTCAAAATGTCTAATACGGATCTAAAAACAAAGCAGTGAAAACATTTGGAGCATGGCTTCTAGAATTCCTTGCAACCCCTTAACAATAGGTCCAATTTGAGTCACATGAGTAGAAAAAAAGACCAGAACAGAGCTTAGAGATACTACAATGTTCATTTCTGAGATCCTGTGAAAACTACCACTTTGACTGGGATTGGTTTGTTTGTTTTTTTTGAATTCCTGACTTTTTCACTGAAACCAGCCCCATTTCTTCTTTCTGTTGGCTTCCCCAGGGGTGGGCCTGTTCAGGAGAACCTCTAGCTAAGATTCTGTGCAGTTCAAAGAACCCCCCCAAACCCCACTCCTGGCTGGCTCCGTCCACCCCACTCCACCACTCCCAGGAGTCCCTGCTTAGCCAGTTTTGGATGCAGGTAAGTGCAGGGCACGGGTGGAGGCTCCAGGAGGCTGAAAAATGGGCCTACCGGAAGTTCGGAAAGTTTCCCGGAGGTTTGAGGAAAGTCTCCAGAGCCCCGTGGAGGGCAAAAATGCTTCTCCCCCCCCCCCCCACCGTGGTGCAGGAGGCTGACTAGGCCACACCCACCATGGCCACACCCACCCAGCAACCAGATAGAGAACCCCTTGCTAAAATTTTTGAAGCCCACCCCTGGCTTATCCTATCCTTCCAAATGTTGTGTTCAATCTACAGAACTCAAAAGAGAGGGAAGCTCCTAACTGTTGCTCATTGAAGACACCCAAATGCTAACAAGGAACAATGTTCAGGCTTCCCAACCAGTAGATAGGTGTTTCATTGTGCACTTCTGAAGAACAAAAAAAAAAAAAATAAGCAACAGGATTAAAGTTTGAGAATGATAACTACAGGCTCATTTTAGATCAACATAGGAAAATCCAACCAATGAATTTCAATATGGCCAAAGTTTAAACAACTGTTTAAAACCAATGTTTTTTTTATATGGTCTCCTTTTTTATTTTTTCAGGTTTATTTCATTTTGGTAGAGGTTTAATCTTTCTTCTGTACAAGTGATATCATGGGGGGGGAGAGAACTATAAAGATACAAAAAAGAAAGAGAAGAGCATCACCCAAGGCAGCCTTCCCCAATTTTTGTTGTCCAGATATGCTATGATTACAACTTCTAGCCTTTTATTAGCTATGCTGGCTAGGAATTTTGTGTTTTTACTATAATCAGCTGGAGGCAGAAGAACACTGATAGCTTGCAATCTCCTGAAAACCACACCAAGTTTAATAAGACCTGCATACAGATGTCGGTATGATTTAATTAGCTAAACCAGTGGTAAACTATACATGGCTAAATGTACACATTTTAAAACTTCCATTTTCTTTTAATTGTTTTTCTCATTGTTGTAATAATGTCTCGACTATCAAATGAATGTTTATTTGGATAATTCTTGCAGCACACACACTTCTATAGCCTGTTCCGCCGCAAGTCTATTTAGAGCTGTATTAGCAATGCTGTGTTGAGATTCAAAGCAAGGATGCTAACCATGTTACCAAAAAGAAAAAAAATATCCAGCTTTATTTCTTTAGAATATGTCCTAGCAAATATGAAAATGACCTGAAATAAAGATAGAGAAGGTGTTGTGGCTTGTCAGCGGCCGGGGCAGCGGGTGGCTGATTCCGACAGCGAGGAGGATTGTGTGGTGCTGCGGCAGCAGCCTGTGCAGCTGTCACTCAAGTCAGACAATGAGGAGGCTGGAGAAGATGTGGTGCCAGGGGCAGGGATTCAACCAAGGCCTTCAGAACCTCCAGAAGCTCCCTTAAGTGAAGAGGACGAAGAGGAGGAGCCTCTTCTTGATGCATGGTCGCGCAGAGCTGCCAAAAGGCAGGAGTGGCTCCTCAGGAGGAGGTCTCCTCGAGAGTAAGACTTGGTGTCGAGTCCTACCGGAGCTCGCCATTGATGGGGGTGTGGGAGACGAAGGAGTGGAGATAAGCAGCCGCAGCGAACACACAAACAGTTCCTGGATAGCAGCATTCAGGACGATGATTGATGACGTTGCCGGGCCTCTCCAATTCTGCTGTCCTCACTGCTCTGGTGCTCGCAGCTGTTACTGTTAAGGGAGTGGGGGGTGCTTGATTGATAATCACCGGATGTATGTTTAAGGGGCTGAGTTTTTGTTAAATAGCACTGTGGTGTGATTACACCCAGCGCTGACTTTGAACCAAAACACCGACTTGTACTTTACTTTTGACTGCAAGCTTATCATTGCCAAAGTAAACCCTGATTCTCTGTGCGTTACTGGTGATTATTTCCTATCGCAGTTCTGAACGAACGACAGGCCGAGAGAAAGTCAGCGCTGGGTGTAATCACATGGAATACGGGATGTATCCTACTAAACAGAGGGGGAAGTTTAAGAGGCTGAGTTTTTGTTAAATAGCACTGCGGTGTGATTACACCCAGCGCTGATTTTGAACCAAAACACCGACTTGTACTTTACTTTTGACTGCAAGCGTATCATTGCCAAAGTAAACCCTGATTCTCTGTGCGTTACTGGTGATTATTTCCTATCGCAGTTCTGAACGAACGACAGGCCGAGACTTGGGGCTAATTGGCCACTCCCTTAGCCTATTTAAGGAGGAACGCCGACTGAAGCAATTTGCAGGGAATAACTCCGTTCACATACCTTTTTTTCTTGTCTTATCAGCTTCCTGCAAATTGCTTCTGGGCATTCTGCCAACCACAGTAAGATTTCAGTATTATTCTTTGAATTCTTGGCAGCTGTTAATGCAGTTAATTAACAGCCATTGTTGTAAAAAACTGGTTTATTTAGTAAACTAAGGTTTGAATGGACTTTGTGTGTGCTGCGTTCTTTGGGGTCCGTAGCTGGGGCAGAACAGAAGGAGGACAAGAAATAAAGGGGGTGGAGATGGGGAAAAATTAAAGTGAAGTGCTTTGAGATGAATAGAAACACAAGTAGATAATATCAGTGAACTTTGAAAATAAATCTAAATTACAGGTAGTCCACAACTTACAACAGTTCATTTAGCGATTGTTCGAAGTTACAACGGCACTGAAAAAAGTGACTTATGGCCATTTTTCACACTTATGACCATTGCAGCATCCCCATGATCACATGATCAAAATTCAGATGTTTGGCAACTGACTTAGGTTTATGATGGTTGCAGTATCCCAGGATCATGGGATCACTTTTTGTAACCTTCTAACAAGCCAAGTCAATGAGGAAGCCAGATTCACTTAACAACCATGTTACTAGTTTAACAACTGCAGTGATTCACTTAACAACTGTGGCAAAAAAAGGTCGTAAGATAGGGCAAAACTCACTTAATAAACGTTTCACTTAGCAATAGAAATTTTGGCTCAAATTGTGCTTGTAAGTCAAGGACTACCTGTAACTGCATCTTAGGGTGCTTAAAGAACTAACTGATGTGAAATGAGACTGAAAGTAGAATGACCTCAGGAAGAGAAAGGCTATGTGGAAATGTGGAAAAAGGGTTAGAATATTAGCCAATCTCCCATTGAATAAATTGAAACAGGATATACTCAGGGGTGAAATCCAGCGGGTTCTGACAGGTTCTGGAGAACCGGTAGCGGAAATTTTGAGCAGTTCGGGGAACCGGTAGCAGAAATTTTGAGTAGTTCGGAGAACCAGAAAATGCCACCTCTGGCAGGCCCCAGAGTGGGGAGGGAATGGGGATTTTGGCAGTATCCTTCCCCTGCCATGCCCACCAAGCCATGCCCACCAAGCCATGCCCACCAAGCCACACCCACAGAACCGGTAGTAAAAAAATTTGGATTTCACCACTAGATGTACTGTATTATAAGAATGTAATTGAAGAATCAAGGAACAGACCAATTTTAAACAAAAAAAGATGTTTGTATAGTGGGCTAAACAAAGAGCTCCAAACTGGTTGAATGTTGTTGTTGTTGTTTAGTTGCTAAGTCATGTCTGATTTTTTGTGACCACAGGACTCTCGGTCCCCCATATTCTACTGTCTCCCGGAGTTTGCCCCGATTCATGTTCCTTTGCATCAATGACACTACCTAACCGTGTCATCTTCTGCCACCCTCTTCGCCATTTGCCTTCAATAAGAGGTCAAATAGAATTAGAATTAAAAATAAAATGATTTGGGAGAAAACTGAACTGGAGAATAATTTTTTAAAAGATTTTTATGGTAATGATAGCGATAGACCAAAGGTTACAATTAATGTTATCAAATGATGAAAATGAAATATTACTTTAAATGTTTTGCTGGGGGGGGGGGGGGAAAGATAAGACAGTGAGTGTTGAGAATGTAACAGAGAAATGTTAAAATATGCACGTGGTTTGCTTGAGGAGTGGCTGTGTAATTTAATTTACCTATGTGTGAAGGTTCCATCTGTGCCTAATGATAGGAAGAATGTAGCTATTGTTTAACTATGGAAAAGAAAACGTAACAAGAGTGATGTAAAAATTGCTGAAGTCAGTGG